GCGTGATGGCATGATGGCAGCTCAGGAATAGGATCACACATGCGTGCACACACACACACACACACACACACACGTGCACGCGCACATTGTGACATGCTGCAAGTTCATGAGGGTACTTCCCCTCACGGGAGTGTGTGCCAGCCCAAAGCTGTCAGGCCTAAAATCAGAGGCTGGCATGTTTGGGTGAGGAGCTAACAAAAGACACCCACAAAGTCAACCGAACATAGACTCCTTTGAGATGCTGTCACCCCAGTCAGAATGCTTACACCAAGAAAACAAATGACAACAAGTGCTGGCAAGGATGTGGAGAGAAGAAGAATCCTTATTCACTACTGGTAGGAGTGTCATCTAATGTAGTCATCATGGAAATTGGTACGGAGGCCTCTCAAAAATCTAAAACTAGAACTACCATGTGACCCAGCTGTACCATTCCTGAACATACACCCAAAGGACTCTCTATCCTACCATGGAGAGCCTTGAATGTCCATGTTTATTGCTGCATTTATTCACAATAGCAAGGAGGTGGCGCCCACCTGGATGCTTGAAGTATATGCACAATGGGATTTTACTCCACTATAAAGAAAGGAAATTAGGAAATCTGCAGGAAAATGATGGGTCTGGAAAGTGCCCTAGTAAGCAGGATAACCAGACCTTATAAAGACAGACATCACAAGTTCTCTTTTGTATGTGGATCCTACCTTTCAGTGTTCATATATGTGAGTGTGGGTGTAACTATAGGCTGTGAAACCAGGAAAGAGGTGTTGAAGAAGGGGTTGAGGGCAACAGAACACACGATGTAAAGGAGGCCACTGGAGGTAGAAGGTTCGGGGAGGGCAGTGGGATGAGGGCGAAGAGGAGGGTAGGAGAATCAACAAGAACAAATCCTGCTTGAAAATGCTGTAGTGGAACCTAATGCTTCGTGTGCCGATGGAAGAGATACCTTGCTGAAATGTGGAAGAGAATAGATGGGAAGAAGATCCCGGTCAGCATGGGTGGGTAGTGGACACTAACTCTATTTGCTATTAATTCAAAGTAGATATTGAGGTGTGTTTAATGTGTTGTCCGTGTTTTGTTGTAGAAGTGTAGGAAATGGGAGAATACTCCTGACTCCCACTGGTTCACCTTCCCTCTTCATCTATCCACTAACCTATTTTTCCAAGTTCCTCCCACTCTGGCATTTCTTGGGACTGCAGCTGTGTTGACTGGAGACCAAACATAGCAGAGTTTAGAGTGGTGAGCCTGGTAACTCATTAACCAAAGCTTTCTAAAGCACAACCCAGCCCTGTCTTCATTGTTTACCAGGTCATCTTAATAAGCTGCTTGAAGGCATGGAGAGCCTTTGCTTGCCTTGGTGGTTGCATTGGATTATGAAAAGACAGTTGTCCCTGGGTGAATGTTATCACTCAAGGCCTGGAGGAAAGTGTGATTCACTGGTGGACGGCAGCCACCCACTTCTTTGTTCCCATGGCTTTTTTTTTTTTTTTTTTTTTTTGTCTTTTTTTGAGACAGGGTCTCCCTGTAGCCCCAGCTATCCTGGAACTCACCACATAGACCAGGCTGGCCTTGAACTCACAGAGATCTGCCTGCTTCTGCCTCCTGAGTGCTGGGATTAAAGGCATGTGCCACCACGCCTGGCACCAAGCTACTAAGTAACCTTCTTCCTATTCTGGTCATTTCTTCCTCTTAGGTGACCACACACCATTTTTGCTCATTCTGATATGGGTTATCTTTGTTACACACAGTTCTGTTTGTGTCTTTGTGTTCTTATTTTGTTTTGTTCTGGTTTTTGCTTTATTTTTGTTTTTTATTCAATGTATATTTTTATTGAATTTTTGTACATTTCATATAAAATATTTTAATCACCTTTATACCTCCTCCCCTACCTATACCTCCTCTAACTCTCACAACTGGATTTCATGCATTCTGTCATATATGTTAAGGTCTATTGAGTCAACTTAGTATACCCAAATGTCCCTCAGTGCTAGTCCATCCACTAGAGTCTAGTCAGCCTATCTAGAGTCACTCCCTTAAAGAAGATCAACTCTCCCTCACCCAGGAGTTCTTTGGCTGAGGTTGGGACCTGCTGCCCATTTCCCTAGATCTATGCTGGGTTTTTGTCTGATTGAGTTTGCGTGGGTCTTGTACATGCTGAAATATTGCTATAGGTTCATATGAGCAAGGTCCCAGAGGCCTGGAAGACTTGTTTCCCTCTGGTCATCCACCAACCCTGGCTCTTATGGACTTTCTGTCCCCTCTTCCGCAATGTTCAAACTCACTTATCCGTAGTTATTTTTGTTTTTTTGAGACAGGGCCTCACTACGTAGCTCTGGCTGGCCTGGAACTCCATATGTAAATCAGGCTGGCCTTGAACCCACAGAGATCCCCTGCCTCTGCCTCCCAAATGCTGGGATCAAAGGCATGCAAGTTCATACCCAACTTTAGTTTTGTTCTTAAATTCTCTGGAGCAAAAATTTCCATCCTTGTTTGGGTTGATACAACCTCAGATAACTCTGGGCCTTGACACTTCACCGCTATCAGTCCATTACCTGGAAATGCAAAGACTTTTTATTACCAAATGAAAGAAATCGTTAGAAAACCACATGGACTGCCAAAAGTTAGGTCAGAACATAAAAATTTTATCAGGCAGTTCAAAATACTTTCAATTTTGAATTATTTATCCTTACTAAGATTTTATATAATTTATAAAGATGGTAAAAATGACTACATTTCTTAAGTAAATGGTTTTGTTTGACAAATGATAATCTAAAGAAAACAATGGAAGTTATTGACTGAAAGTAAAAGAGCCTTTAATAACAGTGTAGAAAAGTAATTTTCCTTGTCACGTCATCTGGGAGTCCAGTGCTGGGAGGCTGTTTCAGACCTTCAGGAAAATAGGATTTAGTGTGCTTCTGAGGAGGTACTGATGGCTGTTTGTTTGTATGTTTGTAAGCAAGCACTTCATTTTACACTTTGTAGTAGGAAACAGATTTTCATTGCTACAATTAAAATAAATAACTCCAAGCACAGCTGTTTAATAAATATATGGATTTTTGTATAAAAACCTATAAAACTATACATTTTTGATGTTCTATCAAATCACGCTTAAATTTTTACTTCTATATCACTGAATACTATCTAGATGTTATTGAAAGGCATTAAGGGCCCCTGGAGAAATGACTGGTTTTAGGTCAGAGGCAGGAAAGTTAAAAATAGAACCTGGTTTACATAGTGAGTTCCAGGACAGCTGGGGCTACAGGGAGACCCGTCTCAAAAAGATAAATAAATAAATAAATAAATAAATAAATAAATAAATAAATAAATAATAAATAAATAAATAAATAAATAAATGGGAACTGGAAAGATGGCTTAGAAGTTAAGAGCACTGCCTGCTATTGCAAAGGACCCAGGTTTGGTTCCCAGCACCCACATGGCAGCTAACAGCCATCTGTAACTCTCGTTCCAGGAGATCTGACGTCCTTTTCTGATATCCAAGGACATTACATGCACATGGTGCACTTACATATATGCATGCAAAGCACTCATGCACATAAAATAAAAAATTTTTTAATTAATGAAAATAAGAATAAATCTTAAAACTATAATAGTGCCCTGGTGCACACTGCTATGGTAACTTCTTGATGCCTCATACTGACTTAATGTAAAAGGTGAGACTCCAAACTGTGTTATCAATTAGGAATTTCAGTGAAAAACTAGACGGGGGAGGTAAAAATGGTACTGCATGAAAAATAATCCAAATAGGCTGTTATGTGGAACAGAGGGAGAGACCGGGAAGCTGAGGGGTTTAGCCAGAGTAATCTGCCACATCCTCCAGAGCAGGCATTCTTTTTTCAGTATTTTACTTACTGTTTTATGTGTATGAATGTAGTACCTGCATGTGGGTAAGTGCACTCCTGTGGTACAGTACCCTTAGAGGTCAGAAGAAAGTGTTGGATCCCCTGGAACTGGAGTTACAGATGGTTATTAGCCACCATATGGGTGCTGGGAATTGAACCTGGGTCCTCTACAAGAGCAGTCAGTGCTCTTAACCACTGTGCCAACTCTCTAGCCCCAAGCAGACATTCTTAAACTTTTTCTATCCTCAATCCCATTTCACAGAAATTTTTACATGAGCCCAGGTATATAGGTATGTAAAAGTGGTTTGCAAATCAAATAGTTACTGATAATAAATCATAAAGAATTTTTACTTTAAAACAATTCATTGATATGTATGTGATTTTACCATTTATTAAAGATGAAGCTGCATATGGGTGACTCACGCATGTAATCTCAGCATTGAGAAAAGCAGGAGCAGGAGGCTCAATGCAAGTTCAAGGCCAGCCTGGCCTACATAGTGAGTTCCAGGCCAACTAGGACTACATAGTGAGACCCTGTCTCAAAACAAAACAAACAAACAAATGAAAATGAAAGAAAAATTGCATACTAACAAGATGGATGTCTTGTTGTTTGTCTAACACAATAAAATTCGAAGGGGGCATACTGAGGAGTGACGGGAAAATACTGAAAGTCGTGTTTTCTACAATTAAGCCTTTATGTTTCTATAACAGCAGAAAAGTTTGCATACTGCAGTTTAACAGGACTGCTAGTCTCAAACCTGAGCCAGTGTGTTTTAGCTGCTGGTCATTAGCCTTGCATGGCATGCCAGCATGTGTAATGCAAAGCACACATATGTGATGCAAAGTGCACATGTTGTGTGTTTAGACCCAGGGCTCCAGAGATGTCTCATGATACAGTACGCGGCAGTGATGCCCAGATCTCCTTGAGTTGATTAGAAATTTGATTTTGAGTTAAATTCAGAAACCTTTTACTGTTATCAGATCTTTGCCACCTGCATGTGCAGTTCCACACCTTTTGAGGTCCACAGTTTGAGAAGCGTGTGGGGAACCCCCCTGCCAGCAGTACCCACCTTGAACAGACGTCTTTTGTGTTTCTGAGTTAATTTTTTCTTGTGAGTAAATAAAATTATTTGTTTGTTTTCCCAGTTGGGGAATGGCGGTCAATGTGTATTCTACCTCGATAACCCAGGAGACCATGAGCAGGCATGACATCATCGCATGGGTTAATGACATCGTTTCTTTAAACTACACAAAAGTGGAGCAGCTTTGTTCAGGTAATATGGTCTCTTTAGTATTTACTTAGTGTTTGCTGTCACGTAGGATGTGATTCTATGAGCCATGGATGATAGATTTTCTGTAAGAAAAACTAAATGTATAAGTATGACTGTATAATTAAAAGGGGAAACGTGGGCATAACTAAACATATGGAAGAAAAATGTCTGTGAGCACCTACGAGCACGGAGCGTCCAGATGGGCAGATGAGCTGCCTTGCGCATGCTGCCCAGGACACCTCCTCTGCCGGCTCTTCATCTTGTTTCCATCATCCCATGATCACCGTACTTATGGCTTCAGACATATAATGGAGCTTGACCTGGTTGTGTAGGCCTCAAACCTCAGCTGTTCGGGAGGCAGGAGGATCACAAGTACAGACCTGTCTGGATGGAGAACCAGCTGAAGGCTAATCTGGATAACCGAGCAGGACCCGGCTTCAAAATAAAACCCAGCTGGGTGTATAGCCCAGTGGCAAAGCACTTGGCTAAAACAAAAAGACTCTAGGTTCAGCTCCTCCCACCAAGCAAACAGCAGAATCCCTAGTGGACCCGGACCTTCAAGGCTCCATGTCACCCTTCTCAAGTCCATCCTCCACATCTCTCTCCCCTGAGCCTCAGAGCCACAAAACACCCTCGGTCCTCAAAGCCCCCTTTCCTCTGGCATCCCATAGTTGTCTTCAGGCTTCTTTCCTAAGAGGATTACCCCTTTGTGTGTGTGTGTGTGTGTGTGTGTGTGTGTGTGTGTGTGTGTGTGGTAACATGCTCTTCATGATTTAAATTCTGGCTCACCTACTACCCTCTTTGGGAAGAATTCCTCAAGCTCTGTGGTTTTCCCCCAAACTCTGCCCACCCCTCCAGAGCAGCACTTGCCACTTCCACAAGGTACCAAGAACTCTTAAGGAGAGGCCAGTGTTTTATATTTTGTTCAGTGCCTGCACCAACAGTGTAGCTGATACCATGCAGGTCTGGAGGGAATGCATGTTGAGCTAAATTTGAAAAATAAAAAGACTCCATTTCAGTAATAAAGGAGGAATATGCTAAAGTAATTTTTCCTTGACTTTGAGCACTTACTGGTTAAATAAATTGTCCTCCTTTGGAAACTAAGCATTTTCTTGTAAACTAGTAGATTTCTTCTGCCCATAGCCCTCGTGTGAATATGGTATTAGGAAACAGAACATATTATTGAAATATGTTTGTGACGACATAATAGGTATGGAGGAGCCCCAGTTTCAGCTGACACGTTAATATTGGAGTGCTCTTTCCCAGGAAGTCCCATGTAAAAGATCTCCTGCTCTGAAATCAGAATTTGGAAAATCCCCAGGTGTCACTCTCAGATCACGTCTGAGTCCAGCATCCCCATCTTTTATAACTTTCCTCTTCTCAGCTCCAGATTAGATCAGAACGAATTAGAGGACTAACTTTTAACCCTAATGACCCCTTCTTCGTTCATCATTCCCCCCATGGGAAAGACAGTGAGGGTGTCTGCATCCTGTATGTTGCCTCTCACACCTGTCTGGGCCTTAATCACACACATGAAGTCCTAGTCCTGTGCCTTAGGTCAGGAGTGGGTGCTGGCTGACTAGTTCTTTGCCCTTCAAGAAAAATCGGTTTATGTAGGACATGATGGCGCATGCCTAGAATCCCAGCACGTGGGAAGTAGAGGCAGGAGGATCAGGAGTTCAAGGTCATCTTCAGTAACATAGCAGGTATGAGCCTGGGCTACCTGAGACCCTGTCTGAAATACACACACACGCACGCACGCACACATGCACTCCAGTATAAAAAGAAACAGAATCAAAATCCAGTTTGTATTATGATGGTGTACTGGGATATTATTGGCTGACTGAAATGGTCCTAAGTTCCTTTCAAGAACAACTCTGACTTATCTTTCTCAAATTCAAATCTCTACTCACTTAACTGTCATTGTGCTGTTATTGCTGTGTAATGTGGAGCTCTCTAGTATTTACTTTTAATTTGCTGCCAAGAAGCAAATAGTTTATTAGCAGTCCCTTCATTAGTGCCACATTCTACTGTGTACTACAGTTGTGAAGGTGTTTATTTTCCAGTGAGTGACACATCATGTTCCCTCAGAAGTAGGAATAAATGAAAAAGAATTTAAAACTTCTAGGAGGAAAAGACAAAGATGGTGTCTTACCCACGAAGTGTGCGTGTTTAGGTGAGGGGAATGGGACTAGTTATCAAGAAAAGAGACACAAGAAGGAAGGAAATAAGGAAAAGAATTAGAACACTCTAGTTGTGAGCCTTCAATGTGGAGCCCATGAGGAGTTTCCTAAGCAATGGGTTTGCAGTGTTTGCGTAGCAAATGGAATGGCAGCAAATTGGAATTTGTCGGTACACTAGTACATATTGATGAGAACTATATACAATCTTTACAGATATTAAAATTTCCCAGAAGGTAAGTTTGGCAAAGTAGTGGGTAGCACTGGTGAATAGTCAAGTAGGCATCTGAAAACATGGGGCCCCTTTGTCTTGCAGGAGATTGCTGTTGGCAGGCATGGCTTGGTGAAAATCTGTGGACACTTCTGATCACTGTTAAGCAGACGTCCTTTCTATAAGAACAGCATTGCTAGTTCATATGAACAAAGTAGATGAATGGTTCCTTTCTGCCCTGAGACATGTTTCTAACTGGAAAACAAACATGAATCTCTGTTCTAGAAGGACAGGTCTTTACTTAAGCAACAGTTTTCTCAATATGAACTGGACCAGAATCATCATGTACCATGGGAGCTTCTGAGAAAGCAGAGATGTGGTGCCCAGGGTCTTCCCAGTCAGTACCTCTGTGTGTGGAGCCTGGACACTGGCACCGGATAAAGCAACCCAGGAACTTTGGTTGGCAGTCCAGAGCTAACAGTACATTTTGTGAGAAACCTTAAACCACTAAAAGTGAAGTTGAATTATCCCAAACCTTCTGGCACAGTTTAATTTTGTCTTCAGCAGTGGCATTTAGCAGGAAGAAGTGAGCTTTCTATTTATTTATTTATTTATTTGTTTGTTTGTTTGTTTGTTTATATTCCTTACTGATCTAGAAGACACTGAGGACAGCTGGGATGGTGCTGTTAGGGTAAGAACAAATCCAAGCACGGTTGGCCTAAGTGATTCGTCCACATCACAGGCAGAAATGGTCGCATTTCTGGATAGCGTTTTTTTCTGGATAGCAATCTTTGATTTTTGTTTGGGTTCCTTTTAGCTTGTTGTGTGGTGTTTTGTTTTAGTAGTGTGCTCTGGGAAGGCACGCACACCACCGTCACCCACTTGGTCTTTCTTGAACGGTCATATAACTCCTCTCGGAGACTTGTGCTGCATCCAGGTTGCCTCCCCCCACACTTCCTCCTGTCTCTTTGCCTCTTTCTTTTTTATTTCCAGCTAACAGATCGTCCTCAAAGCCAGTGTTAAAACGGACGTCAGCTTTTCCTTGGTTCCCAAAGAGCAAAAATACTAACTGTGGTCTAAAATGCTTCAGGATTTTCTACCTTTAACATCTTTTTTTCTTCCATGTCAACATTTTTAAAGGACTCCTTGAAGGAAAGGTGTTGGGCTGGAAACACAGCTGGGTGGTAGAGCACTTGTCTAGTGCATGCAGGACCCAGGGTTCAGTTCCTAGTTCCACAATAAATAACAAAGAAATAAATAAAGGATAGAGTGATCACTTGGAAATACCTACTATGTTACAAGATAGTGAAAAGTGCTTGCTCTTAGTCTTGTATTATTTTATCACAAGGGTGTAACTTTGTGGGCATTTTCTTTGAATATTAAATCTGGGTCATGTATCTCTATGCATATATTTGGATTGCATTTACTTCTTACAAAAAGCAACTGTTTCAGGAAAAGCATTGAGCCGTATAAAAGAAGGAAGGCTATCAATTGATATATACATATCAATTCTGTACTGCCTATAATAATACAGTAATATGCTGGGTCACCTAAATCTGCTTTGAATTGTGGTCCTAGATTTCCTCTTGTGGACTGGGAGTCTAGCGGATTTACCCCTGTGAACTGGGACTTGGAACCACATGGACCATCAAACTGGCTAGGCTACACATATTTCCTGTTTTCATGCAGTTGGTTATAGAGCTGTTATGGGGGAGTGGTCAGGGGACATTGTGCTTTTGCTTGAATACCAGTTCAGACTACTCTAATAGATGTTTTATGTGCTGATGAAGGGGAAAGTGAACAGTGTGGTGCTAAATCCCTAAAAACAGCTTCAGCCACGTGAGTTGCCTTGTTGAAGGTGATAGAGGAGAAATGCACTGTCCGGAAAGAAAGAGGGAAAATAAGTAGAGAAGGAGCTCGGCAGCAGCCGGAAGAATTACATTCCTTCCACGCTCTTTACCCAGTCCTCCTACCCCAAGCCTGCTCTGACTTACTTCTCACCCTCGTTTTTCTGTGTCTGGGTCTTCTCCCCGCTAAGCTGGGTCTGAGCTGCAAATCCAGCTTGCCCAGCCAGCCCTTTTGTGAAGCTTGTGCATCTTCCCTGTCCCCATCCCGCACCCGAGAAGGACAAGGAAGCACTGACGGGGTGCCAGCATGCAGTCCGCGTGGGCAGGGACGCTGCCAGTGTTGTCACCTGGCCCTGCACTGGAGCTGTGGCTGGTCAGCAGCTCAGTTACTTTCCTGAGCATCTGAGTATTAAATGTCATTTGAATGAAACCATTTTTTGATGAAAATGTTAAGTATTTTTCTTAGCTCAGTTCTTCAAAAGGTAGAAAAATGATCAGGATTTGATTTTGATTCCGTTCCAGTTTGTTCTCCCATTGGTTCAAGCTTTGTGTTGGATCAGGCTTCTGGTATTTGCTTCTTCCAGGAAAGCTTCTGAATTTGGCTGATGAAGTTGTAGTTACATTTGCAAATCTGGATACATGAATGGGGGAGGGAATACGGTTTATAGTATGCTCTGGGCTTTGTGTAGGTGTGCCATCAGATATCCCGATACTGAGGGACAAGTCCTCTGGGTTTTACCCTAATGACGGTCATTCCTGAGCACA